ATGATGTTGCCAGCGCCACGGGTGGCAGAGATTAACGAAATCGCATAGAGCTTTTGCTTAGGTTTCGTGATCTCATCTTTCATTCCGATTGCTTGAGATACTTGACTGGAAATCTGATGTTCTCGAACACTTCTAGCTCATTATCACTAAAAACCAGCGCAAGTGTGAGTCCCTGTCACTCGTGAGGACGTACCTTGGATTTCGATGGTGCAAAGCATAGCCAGAAACGACTGACAGCCAGTGCTAAATTATCCAATGCAGCTTGGCACGTTCGTGAGCTGTCAGAGGTAAGCGCAATCTCATCGGCGTACTCCAAGTCAAGAAGTCGATCACGTGGAAGCAGCTCCACGCCAAGTAGGTCGCGTCCCGTGAACGCAGTTTCTATACCTTTGTCGATAGAGGAGTTAAAAACGAAATGTGACAGTGGGCATCCTTGTCTCACACCGCTGGAGATATTAAATGGTGGCAACAGGTTGCCACAAACCCTCACTCTGCCCGACCCGCTTAGCGTATTTCCCTATGGGAGCCTACCTTGAAAATTAGAATTATAACGGATCGGTTGCATTCCGCTTGAACAGTCTCCTGTTTGTATAGATTCACAAGTAGGTTATGTACATCATGGATAAGAGCAGCTCTTCCATACATGAAATGTCTGCTCTGGCAGCCATATTCACTTTCAATATTGTGATCTCACGTTCGACTTCTGCACGTGAAGGTGGACCAAAGACGGCACACGGAGAAGGGGGATCAATGACCGACAGAGAAGCTGGTAACTCTGACTGATTAAACTGCTACTCAAAGTGTTTGGTCGAACATTCCAAGTGCTTTGATAGGCTCTTCACGTTCGTCGCTTATGGTTTCGCTAACAACAGGTCTCTTGCCGTCTACTTCCCGTATAAGATCCATTGACACGATAGTTACGAATAGCAACGGCTGTCTCCATTCCGAGGCATGGTGAGACCATGGGGTTTCCTGGCATTCAATCAGACTAGCAGAATTTCGCCCTGACATCTTTGCGTGTCTCATTCTGTTCGTTTCCGGTCGGAACACGTGCGAGCATTCATAATTCCCGGAGAACGCGTAAAGATACAACGTTCAGGTCCGCAATGCGAGTTGACGCAAGAAGACAGGTCTGGTGCTAATAACATCTGGCGAATGTGCGACCAGCAATCTTCGACTGTGTTCCATGAGCACTTACTAGGCTCGGATAACAGCGTATTTTGATAGAACTTTAGAACACCTGAGGTTGCCAGTAAACAAGTAGCAATGCTCTCAAACCACTGCTGTGAACGTCCGAGGAGACGCACCCACAAGTCGGAGTCTACATTCATGCTACAAATCGAGCGACAGCTACGGACACATCCTCTTCAGTCGCAAGGCATCGAGATGTGATCGATTTCCGCTTAGGGTTGGGGGGGGGGCGAGTGCTGTGTCGAAAGTTAGTGCTCGCGAGAAATAGACGAGAATCTTCACACCGAGGTAAAAACCGCTCACCGTTATCCTAACGGAAGCCTACACCGTGTTGGTCGCTCAAAAGTAGCTGTTCATTGGACAGTCTTCCAACTCTAGCGCTCAGATCACCATTGAGAACTACAGTATCCGTACTTTTCCCATAACGAAGGAGCTTGTTCAGTTCGTGATGGGATTCACTTATCACCGACTAAGCGCCACAAGTTATGGGTGCGTAGGCCGCAACGACAAACAGACACTGTTTGTCTGCGCGCGACTTCGAAGCTTTGGAACAGTCAGCCAACCTGACGGCGCACATCCAGCTGTAGATTGGGACACAATCAACTAGGGCAGCTTCAGCGCAGGGACAGTGACCAAACCGGCTTGATCAGTGTTTGAAGCCGCGCAATGAGAAAATGCCGCCAGTGTGGCTTTTGGATGATCGCAGGGTAATCACATAACCCGAAGCTTGCAGACGATTTCCCGATAACCAGCAGAGATCGTTCGATAAGGTGCTGCCTGTTGGCCGATCTGCAACAGAATGCGCACGTTGACGCACGCCAGTCTTAAGAAGGATTGGGGGCTCCAAAGAAAAGCGGATGAGCTCACGTCCGCTTGAATGGATATGAACATAGACCGGAGCCATGCCCTGCGACTGTATGATTTGAAAACGATGAGGGAGGGCCAGGGGTTGGACGGTTGAAAACGGGTGGGATAAAATGAAGTGGGAAAGGAACGATAACGGAGAAAAGGCGCGAGAGGTAATAAGAAGATGGGAAGGTTAGATTAGTAGCGTCCATACCCTTTTATACCCTGCTCGAAGTGACAGATAGGGCGCTGTTGACTATCGACCGGTTGCCGAGTGGTCTGCACGCATGGTTTAAAATCATAAGGCCACCAGTTCGAATCCGCGTAGGGGCGGGCATCCTCGCGGTATACTCAGCCCACACACGAATGGTGGTGGTCGCGCGGCAGCGAAGCGCCGTTACAGCTTACAATTGACGAGTATTAGTGATTTTAATATCCTCTACGACGGCCAGATCATCAAGAAGTCATTACAAGAGAAATACGTATTGCGTGGGAAGGATACTGTCAGGCCACCTAGGGCTAGACAGGAGAACGATTAGGATTCTCAACCAAAGCCTTTGGTTCAAAAACGTGACCGCAAGGCAGCGAGGTTCGGCAATGGATTGCAGAATACGTTTTATAGTATAAGGAGCCACACCTACTCTGACCTCCAAAATGTAGGGCCCGGAGATTGAGTTGTTCTGCCCCCCCCCCCACTACTGACCAATCCGGTAGAAGTGGCTCTGAAGGTGCAAAAAGCACCACACAGCATAGCCCAATGGATCGCTGAGGCACTCAAACCATCGCACCGTATTAAGATCCAGTCGCGTCGCAACGATCAGAATGCGTCGGTTTATTTTGTTGGCGCAATGGTTTACAGAGACAGGTAACGAAAACCATTGCATAAGCAGAAGGAACCTCAGTGACATACTCTGCCCTGTGCATACTCATCTGCCCGTATCTGTGAACACCGTGAAGGTGTGAAAATTTAATGCACATAATAGCATACATATTACCATCCATATGTTGAGGAGACCCCACTATGGTTATTACTAAAGCGACACCATTAGTGAAAAAACTACACGCCAGTTGATCTTTCCCTATGTAACAGTAGTTTCTCCCACCATCGAGAAAAGAAAAAAAAGAAATGAATACTTTGATCGTGAGATTTCTAAGCTCTATGCACTTTTCGGCTTACTCACGAGGAGTGGAACTGTTGAAGAGGCTGAGAGATTGAACACTATTCAGAGTCCAGAAAATCAAATTCCGTTGGACCAACCCGCCGCTGTTTGTAGTAAATGCATGTTATAAGCGCTCTTCCTCGGTGAAGCTCAATGTCCAGTTGTGTCAGCACTGCGTTGACACCACAGCATTCCGTAGCACACACTGTGCGATACTAGATTATATCGTACAACCTGAAGAGAATGCTGATGGAGTCAACAGCACTGTTGCGGTGTCAGTGTCACAACGGCTATTGATTCTCTGCAGGATTTTCGAACCACCCCAAAAGTATATGCGAACTAAATAAATACACCAGGACGCGTTTTGGAATATGAGAGAGGTGAACCCATGTGAGGTACACAATCACCAGTGCTTGCACAGTCGCTGGAATACTTCTGCACCCGCAGCACTCATGCGCGTTCGAACTAGTGAGTGTCGCGTTAAGGTAGTTTGAACTACACCATCGCCGTGTTTAGTTTCTGAATGTTCACACAGCCGGAAGTTAGACTACAGCGTTGCGACCAACATTGGATACCCACACATTAGCAGCTATCGGCTAGCATACGTCACAAGTAGTTATGCGAGCACGATAAAAGTGTTCACATAATTACCACTGCGTAGAAAGCAACAACAGAACAATGGACGGGGGATTCCGATATTTTGAATAACTTCCGTGCACATGAGTACAGCAGTAGAGCCCTTTGATACTTCCGCTTACTTCCTGCTGATGAGGTTATCTATCACAATTGATGACTATACGGCAGAGTGGCACAGAGCCCAGATGTGCTGCCTAGCCCACAATTGCTTCCACAGGTCAAATTATTCACAGTGGAACAGTCATTGCCGTCATTCCCACATACCAAATAGCTTTCAAGTGAAGCAGATGTTCACATTCGCAAACATTGAGCGATGTGAATTTTGTTCAGTACCATTCTCTTAAAGATTTGAAGCAGATTCGCTTTGGCTCGCGTATTTTGTCATGATGTAGTCTTTTCAACCGTGTGTAGCATATGGAACTCTGAATTCATGATTTTGAGTTATTTTGAACACTAGAAGCACGGTTTATGACCGTACTGCACCAGATGAATTTTGCCGGTTTAGTGTGCAGAGCCAGAAGAGCCCATGGGATGTGCTACATACCTTTCGCACAACTTGCTTGGTTTAAGCGCAGTATCACAGACCTAGTGGTAACAATAATTATAAATAACCGCACGGTTACAAATTTCAAGCAGCCATCGGAAGAATAGCAGTGCTGCAAATATAGAATGGTAATCGTAAGTCAACAAAGACCGATGACGCTTGCCTGGTTGCGCAAAAGGACACTGTGTCGAGGAGCAGGCGAATGCATCTCAGCAGATATTACCAAGGGAAGAGGATAAAATCAGAGGGGAAACGTAAGGAATAACGACCAGTGTGAATGTGGATGTATGTGTGTGAATATGCGAATCACACAGTAGATGAATGACTAATTGGTTTTCTGACATCTAGGTTGATGTAGGTCGAAGTTTGAATCCATACTTAGTGTTGCGATGACGGGACAAAGTAGTCTCTGTTACTGAGCCCAGCGATTCAGCAGAGATTCAGAGACACACGCAGCACATGTCACAACAGCTGGTGCATTATTTAAACCACACACTTCATGTCATCTTGCTTATCAAACAAATGGTCTATTTCCAAGTGTGATTTTGACATCAGTGTTGTCCATGGTAGGGACAAAGCAACAGGTTACTGATATCGGTGAATTAACAAACCAAGATGCTCACCTACGGAGAGAACTCAGCCAATTGCAAAGTCGACAAAGTGATGTCGGTTCGAAGCGGTAGATCAAGTGATAGAGCAGTCGTCCGTAGATACCGCAAGTAAATTGGCTCATTCGTTGAATGCGCTGGATACTAAGCCAGTTTATCTCGAAAGACTCAGATAATCGGGGGGAAATCACGTCACCAGATTCCAGAGGCCGTGGAGGTATAGAAGGCACCTGAGGATAGCACAAGAGGGAAGAAAATAGCAAGTAAGAACTTAGAAAAGGGTTTCTGAATAAAAAATAAAAGACTCAAAAAGCAAACCGTCGGAGAAAGGGAGGGATTATTCAAGTATCAACTGCAATACATGCGAAATAGTAAAGTGGTTCGACTCCGAATGGATATCTTCATAACATCCCCGGAAAGCGTGTTGATCAGCTCAGCGCGACACATGCCATTGTCAGTGCTCTGGATAGTATGATGCAACAGCGGCGGTTAATGACGTCTAACAACAGAAAAAACCACACTAATGCGCCGAGGATTGAAGAGGTCAGTCTCGTTCACTTGGGGTGACCAATTATTATGGAAGCAGCGAGAAGCAGTGTAAACCGCAGCGATGGACTCGCGTCACTATTGCGAATAGAAAAAACAGAAAGGAGAGAGTATCCGACGTAACACGATCGCAAGAGTGATGTAACTTCTGACTGACAACAAGAAGCAAGAGGCTGTGTCTATCAGCCCCAATGAATTCGCCACTAAGCCATATTCGAGGAGGTTTCAAATCACCGACAAGGTCAATTCACAGGACTGCATGGCCTATCGGTCAAACTGGTCACGTCTTTAAGCTAACGTCAAGTTAGAGTCTCACCTAACTGAGTAGGATGACGTACCCTGGAATAACCGCCAAGTGGCGTGTGTATGAAGAATATACCGATAAATATACGTCATGTGAGCTTACCAAACACTTTTGTACAGTGTAGAGATTTGGCTACCAAATGCAAAGCGGCGGACTTTGGCATTCCTCACTCAGCGCTGACACCAGAGATGAGTGATGGTTCACAAGCGAATGCAGTCAAACATGCTCAGATGCTTAATGTTCTCAATGCGCGGTGGCCAAATCTCTGATTTGCATACTAACACTGGCTGGAGCGAGATCGTTACCCTCCGCTGTCAACCAAAAAGTAAATATCACAATGTCTTCACAGATAAATAGGACATTGTAAAACCACCATGACTTTGACAATACGAGCAGGGAACGTTAGTTAGTTGACAAGCAGTTGGGATACGACAACAGATACGTTTCTCCGGTTCCAATAGACTGCCCAATTGTAGCCACGCATAAAATTGTACGGACGATCACATGATGATGAACACAGGACGAGGGCAAAACACAAATTGATCGGGTGGGAAAAATTCGGAACGGAAGATTCAATGTTCCTATGGAAATATGAACTGGATTGGCGACAATCAACAAAAATACTTAAACGGATAATAGAAAACGTGAGTCTATCACCTGTAGCGAATTGATTACAGTGTGTCAATCTGAGCAACTGACCGGTAATAGGTCAGACCACATATAGGTTTAATTTTCAACCTGATTGCGCCTCCACTGCAATTGCTCCTTCTTAAGCATTTATCTCCGCGGTATGGGTAACTGATTCCAAGCTGAAATAAGGAACTTAGGTTGAACATGATTGTTTTCGACGGATATTGATGGCTAACATCAGTTTGTAGGTTAATGGACCAGATAGGCCTTTCTTGTCACACATTAAGTATAACTAACAAACCATCGAATATTTAGTTTTGCTGAATGTCAAGGCCATATGTGTAACGACAATGTAGCACGCACAAAGCGATCTAGATAAGTGAAGCAATCAGTCAATTTCAACGGGGAGTCGCAGAGTGCTGGACCAGTCCGGTGATAGTTCCCTTTGAAGATACAAAGCCTATATCCGCATGTGCAGGCCACGAGCCAGACTACTCAAGGGCACTTGCAGTGTTGCCGGTGTACCCAAATTTTGATAGTTGGCATACAAGGAAAACTCTAAATTGGCAGAGATAGAAGGAGACAAAAAGAAATGGAGAGACATGTCAACCGAAACGCATTTGACCTATCGTTGCGATTTCGGGGACCAGTCTCTCGTGGATGGATACGGTTCTGGTGTACATACAACGATAGCAGTACACTCCTCGGCGATGGATGTTGTTACAAAAAAGTTGATTTAACTAAACTGAAAATAATCTTCATATCAAAGAAAATAGCTAAGATAAACAAATTCGATGTATATAATGTCACTCCAACAACTAGCGAAGTGCGATTAATGTGTCTTCCGGCGAGGAGATCATTCTGCTTTCACTGGTTCGACTACCAGGAAGATAAGTGAACTTCTACAGCGTAATGCAGTAGAACAGATTAAACCAGATGGTGATAAGACTGAGACCCGATGACCCATGCGAGAAGTTCATTATGAGGAAAACCGCTAATCAGAGAAGAGTCACTGTTAACACTAACTACATCAACTGATTGATGCGCCTAATCCAATTATCACTTCCACCCGTTAGCTCGTACATAACTTCATCCATCCTGCAGATAACAGCACCACTCGACCACCTCCCAGGCCTTTGAAAGTGTAATAATCGCGGTTGATGGGGCGCAAAGTCGTCAGAACAGACTTCACCGCACCGGACAGTGAACTGGCTAAACGTCAAATCTCATGAAACTGCCAAGGCAGCGGACAATATAGGGTAAGTAAGAGGATGTGTCAGAAAGACCGCCGATCATGCGAGGCGACAGTGGGTGTGAGACGACGTTGTCCTTTGAATGCACCGGATCACCTTTGTTTACCAGACTCGTAGGAATTAAGTGTTGGCTTCACTTGTAAACGTCGGATCGATTGAGTTGTCCGTATGGATCACCGAGTGAGTCCATGGCAAGGCTCTTTACGCGTTTTCTTCGGCTCACTAAGTCCCAACTATTTGGTAAATCAAAGGTGATCAGCAGTACCTCGAACAGCAACTCGCATAAGGGAGAGACTCTGTGTTCAATCTGATTTTTGCTTAACTGAGTAAGGTGCCGAAAGAAAGACAACGGTCCGACAGACAGCACAGTGCCTCTCCTTTTTCCTACGACTGTAGGTTGCCAGATTTGGTCAGGTCAGGTCAGCCTCCAAGGTCGAAACAGGCTTTCGCCTAACGTGTCCCCTTTTTATGTGCAAGCCAGCTAGCAAGGGTCTGCAGTACTTCGATGTCTACATGTATTCACATCTACAGCAACAAAAAAGTATAAATCCATTCATAACTTCATGATAGTATCCTACCAAGGGCTATTTGCTACTAATTAGCATCCAGTAACTTCAGTGCAATTCACACCCAAACCTCTTTTAAACACTTCTATCGCATTACATTCCACTATTGCGGGGAAGAAGGGGTAAATTTAAACTAATTACTATGCGGTTAGTGAAAAATTTTACCCGTTTATCAAGTTTGGACCTCTAGTGGTTGTGTGTCCGCTAGCTAGTTCAAAGAGATCAGTAGGCTTAATGCCCCTGAGACCTTTCATAATCATGAACGTTTCTATCAAGTCTTTCCTGAGTTTGCGACGTCCTAATTAGAACTTAACACGCTGGTCTTCAATCACTATGATGACCATTCGTTATACTTTCTTTACGTAAGCGACATCCTTTCGAGGATACTGTGCCCAAGCCTGAACACAGTGCTCTAAGTGTGGCCGAACCACCGCTCTGTATAACGGGAGAAAGATCCCAGGTTTAGTGTTACACCACGCTCTCGTAAGGCGAAAGAGCTCTTACCACGCTCTGTTGGGAGCACGATGGCACAGCGCCGAAGGCCTGAAGCTATCTACCATGATGATGCTCATGTCCCTACCTGGTTTATACAGGGCAATATCATGGACCCAGTGGATGCTTTCCATTGTAATCCTGACGCTACTTGCCGATAACAGCGGAAATTTGTTCGCATTCAATGGCAAGTCCCATGATTCGGACCAGTTTGCCACAGTGCCCAGACAACGTATCCTTGTGTGCTTTACAAGCAAGCTCTACATCGTCAGCAAAAACAGAACAAGGGTTCACCACAAATCGACTTGAAGTGGACAGTACCTTCATTTTTCTAGCTTCGCCCCGGTTGCATACAAACGCGGTTTAGTGAAAACTCCCTTCTACAAAACTAGACGACTCTGCAGCCCCGAAATATTAAACGTTGAAGAAGAAATTATACAGAAGACCTTAATTTTTGATGGGTACACCGTGGACCTCCCAGCAACACTAGTGCTAACGACAGAAAAAAGGATGTTTATTTGATCGTGCCGTTCAAGGGGGACCATGTGGCAAATGATATCGTACGCAAGCTCCGTTCCGCCCTAACGCGCACCTACAGGAGTACCCAGTTGCGAATCATGCATACCACGCGAGGTTTTGTTCTTCCTAACCATCAGAGCATGTCGTCGCGTAGTTCGGTCTCTCACGTTGTTTATCAGTTCAGCTACAGTTGCGGTGACATTTACATACTCAGAAATGACTGTCAGTTAGCTTTGGGAGAGCTAAACATTTGCCAAAGTGCTTGGGACAAGTGGTGAAGTAACAAAACATTATCGATTTGAGGATCAATCGGAGCCCAGCATCGTCTAGCAGCAAGTACCTCATGGCAACCCATCACCCCGTAAACCCTGAGAGTGCGCAACAAAAACCCAACAATGTTGGCAATTTCTGAGGTATTGCAAATTAAGGCACATCAACCTGGGCTATGTACACAGAAAATCTTGAAGCGAACAATTCGGTTGCCTTGGTCTTCACCGTACACTTTGAATTTCTCGACAACTTATAGCCGATCACTAACAAACGTCACCAAAGGAGGGAAGACTTGCAATACTTGGAGAACCTTGCATTTCGACGGTGTAAACCATAGCCAGAAACGACTGACAGCCAGTACTAAATTATCCAATGCAGCTTGGCACGTTCGTGAGCTGTCAAAGGTAAGCGCAATCTCATCGGCGTACTCCAAGTCAAGAAGTCGATCACGTGGAAGCAGCTCCACGCCATGCAGGTAGTGTCCAATGAACGCAGTTTCCATGACTTTGTCTACGGAGAGGTTAAAAAGGAAAGGTGACAACATGCATCCTTGTCTCACCACCGCTGGAAATATTAGATGTTGGCGACAAGTTGCCGCAAACCCTCACTCTGTCCAAACCGCTCTTGTAATTTTTACATCTTACGGATAT